AAATGGTAAACAAATAATAAGACAAAAAGTTACATTGGAAATAAATTTTAGGGGTTGCGTTTTCCACCCCTAACAACCATGGGGTAAACCAAATAAATTACTGGCAAGTGTTTTTTTGGTAGTACAAAACGTCAGGTTAATTTCAATATTGTAACTTTTTCAGTGCTTGTGAAAAAATTGTTATACAAATTTTATGTACCCCCTTTAAGGGGCTGTATCTTAACAAGGAATGCTCCAATGAAGTTTCTTTATATGAAAGATCCTATCTTTTTTACGATGAGGAATCACCTCCTTAAATGTTTTACACTTATTCAGTTACACCCTGTATATGTATTAATATACCGAAAACTTATGTAATACATTAATATAACGATGTAATCTCTATAAAGAAAAAAAAAGGAATAAAAAATCAGTTTTTCTCCCATTTATAATTTATACAGAAGAGCTTGTTTTTGTGAGAAAACTTCAGTTTTGCATACAGTACAACAAATTAAAACAGTTCGTATTTTTAATGTTAAACCCTGTATATACATCGAACAGATCTTCCTGCTTGTATAATGGGAATGATTGTATGTGATGAGATAGGCCGATACTTGATGAAAATCCATAACATATTCAAGAAACACTTTTGTGATATTTTCACAGAATAGTTTACAAAACATACAATACCTTTCTAAGGCGTATTTATACTGTATATACACACCTGAGAAAGCTATCAAATAGTATTTCTGATACTATCTTTCAGTAGAATCCTGTACAATAATAACTTCACCCACCATATCATTTCGGTTTAGTTTAGATACACCCTCGTACAATAATTTCATTACACTCCATATTTTTTGGGCCCCCTTTCTATTGGCTACTTGAGTGGACTCAAAGTTAATATCGCAGGTAGTTACACATGAGGAATGATACTATGAAGGAATTCGATCTTGCACTGACGAGTGGCCTGTCTGCAAGTGTGTTCCATTAATTGAAAATCGATTGCAGGAGTTGTATCGCCAACAGAATATGCAGGAATAACTTCAGTGAAGAACCCTGCACTGACACCTGTCGGACATAATCCAACGCCCTTCGTGGTATTACCTAGGGGAGTAGTTGTTTTCTGATAGGTGGCAGTCCATTAACCTACAGTGTAGGTATTTTGAGACTAGTCTGAACGAATTGTTCTTTTAGATAATTCCATCACTATGAGAAAACAATATTTCAACATACATTTTTATCAATAGAAATTGAAAAGATTTCAAATATGTAACAGAAAAGCAGTAATTTACAACTAACCTTACTGCCAGGTCCAATAATATGCCTTCCGGGCTTCAAACTGTTACTGTTGCTACTACTGGTGCTCCTTGATCTTGTCTTCCTCATCTCTACCACAGGTTCCACCTCACTTTCCACGGTCTGCTCGGCAGCTACTTCTGGAGGCTGCTCAAACTGGTCCGCAAAGACAACTCCATTGATGTGTTGTTGATTCTCCTGCAGTTCCTGTTCATCAGTAACACTTTCTTGTTTGAGGAGATTGTTGACAGCCTCCTGAGCATCATTTACCGGCTCTGGAAAGGTCGCCAACGGGAGTTTTTCTGGTTGGAGAACGTGATAGCTGACGTTTTTTGTTCTTGGTCGTATTCTTTCACCTGTTTTAATACAACAGACATCATCAAATATAGTATGAATATATAATTTCTTCTTTGTAAAATTCAAACACAGAAAACAAGAAAGCAATGTGGTGAGATAAAAGTTTATTTATAATTGTTAACTCAATTCCATAACACTGACAATTAACACATTACATTCGTTGTTTCTGTGCGAAAAGGTTTTTGATTATACACTCCGAGTATTAAATGGAAATATGTTTCTAATAACGTGACCACACTCTACTCAATCAGCAGGAGTAGGTTCACAAAGGCGACTTAGGGACATTAATATGATGGCTAATGTTGAATGTATTTGTTGGCATAAGGGACATACTTAGGAATCTATTATATATTCATCATGCCAATTTTTGGCTTAATATTTATAACTTTCAAACCAGATGTACCAGTTAGTTATATTCTATTCTATTTACAACTGGTTCACAAGCCATTTTTTTAATATTCATTGAGGTTGTCTTGCCAAGTCCATTTTTGCATGATATAAACCATAAATACTTTTTGACATTCAAATTTTGAAACTTGTCTACGTTTGTGAACATTATTTGCTTCTCGTTCTTTTGTCACAGCTCAGTTTTATTTTTTTATGGAAATAGATTTTCAAATACAGTGTTGTTAATCCTCTTATAGATTGAATAACCACTGTCTATCTCTCCTGCAAGAATATCTGTCTACCTGCTTCCACATGATTTGCTCAGTACTTTTCTTGTTACTTGATTTTTCATAACAATACGTTACAGTGTGCGGCACCGAGAAAGTTTGAATATCTTCACGGACATTTGTTAGGGACATCTTTCTATCGTAACCTCAACTGCCTTACTTCTTCCTCGCCCCTTGGTGACCATCTCCCTTAGAAGTTGAATAGGAAAATACTAAGAGTGACACATCATTTTAAAAAAGGAATTTTATAACGAATTCCAGGCAGTTATTACACATAAGTTTTCATTTTGACACCCTCTTACGGGAAAAACAACTGTTCCGAATTTCGCATTATGATACTTCATTTGAAAGATAATGTCAACAATTGATAAAAAGACAACAAAAATTTTAAAAATGTAGTCTTTGAACCAGAAAAATTGAAACTGTCCATAATTGATATAATTTCAAACTACATCAACTGTCATACATGAGAATTATGAGAATATATGTCTGACCTTGAATTGGTATTGATACTGCGAAAAATAGTAAAATATGTCAACTTTAATTTTCAGGATTACAGATTTTTATGTAAAAATGGAAATAATAGTTGACTGACATCTTATTTGATAGGTTTTCCAGTTCTGTATCCACCCTTATAACATTTTTGACACTGAAATTATAAGCGTAGTAATAAAATTTAATACTTTTTCTAGTTCTTACTTTTTTCAAACTAGAAAGTGAATCTAAACAGAAAATTTTACCTCATCAAATATTCGAACTGAGTATCATTACCTTGCGTAACAGTTGGGCTGAAGTTCGTAGGATAACAGAAACAATTTTTATTGTTGTTTTTATTTTTATCGTTGTTTTATAATTTCACAAATAAAAATAGGCCTCACTTTCAATGACTGCCTTTTCATCGGCTCTAAATTTTTTCCAGAGAGCATTCTCTTGAGGTCTGAAAAAAGTCGCTGGGGGCCAGATCTGGAGAATACGGTAGCAATTCAAAGCACAATTCATGCAAATTTGCGAAAGGTCCAAAGGGGTTTTTGATAGTTTAAAGCATATTGGCCCGTCCACAAGTTTCACAAATCGCTATCCGAAAACGAAACGAACTGAAAGTCGATGTTCTGCCTCGCCCACCATACTTTCCAGACCACTAGTCAACCGACTACCATCTATTCTAATCTTTGATAACTTTCTCACCGGTAGAACCGGTTTATTTACTTCAGGGTATTTGTAGTCCTACATGAAAAGAGTGACAGAATACGCTGTCTTTAAAGTAAGTCACAAAATATAGAATCTTAAATAATTATAATAACAATTGTAATTTATCAAACAAAATTACAATTTTGCTTAACTGGCTATCGACCAAAGTCCTTCTACCTGTATAACAAAATTGCTTTGAAATTACATAGCTTATTTAACAATATTACAAAAAAAATTATATGACTTAAAAAAAGAACAAACAAAACAATTTAATTGATAAAGTTGTGTTGGGTGTTGATGTCGTACTCTTGCATGGGGGTTTCTTGTCACAGCATACTTTCTAATGTCGTCTATTGTCGTCTTTTCTAGCAAATTTCTGAGTGACGGAAGTCTTTCCTCAATAGGGATAATACCAGTGAGTTGGTTCAGCAGAGGGTTTGGAGGGTTGTGTTGGGGGTTATTGGGATGCCTTAATCTTGTTATTTTCCTAATAGCCGTTGTTTCAGATACTTTAATTGTTTTCAATACCTTTGTTTGATATTGTTGGGTGCGAGTATTCAATAAGTGGACGACAGATTAGTTTATGTATTCTGCTTGCTGTTGATATGTTTCCACTTGCGCCCGGGTTTGTGAAACTTGTGAAATGTGCAGCTCTTGCAATCACTTTTTTTTGTTATTGACGTGGCTGTTGAAATTTAGTCTGGAATCAAGCGTAACACCTAGGTAATTAACTGTCGATTTCGCTTGTAAGATATGTTGGTAAACGTTGATTGTTGGAGAAGTTGCGGAATTTCGATTATTAAATATGATGAACTAAGACTTAGATGGGTTTGGCTGGAGCCTATATTTATTGAACCAGTTATTTGTTATTGTTGTAAGATGTTTCAAATTGTTAATAACTTTGTCTAGCGTTTGATCGTGCTCGATTAGGACGGTGTCATCTGCATACTGGAGAAAATATGCTTCATGCCTGAAGTGGATTATATTTCCTTGTTGGTGATGATGAATATCAGAGCTGTATAAGTTATATAACAATGGTGAGAGCGGTGAACCCTGTCCCTGCTCTGGGATAAATTCGTCTGAAAAACTACTCAGTATTTTAACTCTGTTTTCTGTCAATTGGCAGATTCTTAATTGTATGTACTAGATAGTAAGGACAACCCAGTTGGAGCAGTTTGAATAAAAGACCCTTGTCCAGATGCTATTGAATGCTTTGTTCATATCCAGAAAGATTGCTGCCGTTTTGTTGTTCAGCTTGGTTGTTTCAATGTTATTCGTGAGAATCGTGAGAGGATGTATAGATCTTCCTTGCCTAAATCCAAACTGGTAGCTTGGGATTTTATCATTAAGCAGTTTGAGTAAAAGATTTTGTAAAAGTTTTTCAAAGTTTTTACCAATTACAGGCAGGAGAGTAATCGGACGATAACTGTCCGTAAGGAAGTGATCCTTGTTTGGTTTGGGAATTGTAATTATTGTGTCCATTAAAATTTTAAATTTACATACATTTCAAGAATAAAGAATTCCGTTGTCTGTAAAGTACGTCACAAAATACAAAATCTTAAACCTACATACATTTCAGGAATATGGACTGTATAAGTTGAAAATCAACTAATAATATCTACGTAAATCGATATCATTCAAAACCAGAAAGAGTATTTTCAGTGAATTAATATAACTCAAAGCAATCTGGATGTCCCTCAAACAGTGAATTAATGAATGTGATTGGTGAAATGAAAATCAACATGAAACAAAACCAATATATTTTTCAACTAAATACTACATAATCTTTGTAAGTAAAAACAAAATCTAAACAAAATATCCCACCCGTCTAAATTGAAAGGCATTCTAAGAACTATCAAAACCCAAAACAAAATTGTGGAAAGTCCAACTCACCAGTTGCAGATTTGATCTCAGCTGGTTGTGTCCTAGTAACTAGAGTCCTCGTTCTGTGCCTAACTCGGCCGTCTTCTCCGGCCTCAACCGGCACTCTCGTTTTCTGGGTGTGGATCATCTTTGGTCGGCTTGGTACACTCTGATCTGGTTTCATCTTTTTTGGAGTCTTTGCTTTTGCAATAGACGATTTTGAATTTACAAGCGAGTTGATACTCTCTGAAATTTTAGAAAATATATCAAAATTATAAAATATTTATCTATTAGAAGTAATTTTGATTTGATCTTAAATATTTTTGTGATTGCTGCAGTTTTTATTTAGCTGGTAGCATATTAAAAAGTGGAATATTAGCAGCCTCATTCCGGAAAGTATACAATAATATTAGTATTACCTATGGCAGAAGAACAGCTATTATAGAGATCAGTGTAGCTCTCAGCTACAGGTTCTTTGAGTGATGTAGGAGAAGGGGTTTTCTTCTGTTGTTTTCTGGCATAACGTTTTCTTCTTTCCCGTTCTTCTTCAGAATCGGTATAATTGTCGCCCAAGTCCTGGAAATGGTTCTAAATAAATTATTAAATTAAATCTGTCAACATTCCCATACCGAATCATTAAAATTATAATTAAAAACAAGCATCTTCAAATGACAAAAAATATAAGCAAGTGTTTATCCAATCAAAGCCAGAACTGAAACCTCTGGCATAGAATGAATCCAAATCATGCACTGTTCCCAAACACCAGAACTGCAATTCTTTCGATGAAGTAGACTAAAGTCTACTTCTTCATCTCCTTAAGACGCCAACTTAGTCGTTGAAACGCGCGTCGAGAAGAATGTTGCAGTTCTGGTGTTTGAAAACAGTTCTTGTTGGATGTGTTTATTTAGTGCAAAGTAGAACAAGCACCTTTGACATAGGGTAAATTCAACACAAGCACTGGTTACACTCTTCTCAATGTGTATTTTACCTACCAAATTTGCGTCTTCAGGAATTGAAGCAGAAGGTCTACTTCATTTCATGAAGGTGCCAACTTGGTACCTGTAAAACTTCTGGGTTTTCGATACAGCATAAAATATTTGTCAAGAAGCACCCACACAAACTTTTGATTTCAATTGCTCCAGAGAAACCCCTTTGTATCAAATTATCGAAGTGTGTGCAGCCAGTCATCTATTCCAAAATTACTTGACAGTATAATTTCAGATCAATTTAACTTTTCATGTTGAGAAAGATTGATCAATAACCAACATGGCTTTTCTCGAAATAAGTCGACTGTTTCCAATCTTCTCATATAGGAGCAAAAAATATTGAATGTTTTGGAGGGTAGAGGTCAGATGGATGCCATATACACTGACTTTTCCAAGGCATTTGACAGAATAAATCACAATATTCTATTGAAGAAGATCTTAAATTTCGGTTTTACAGAACATTTGGTAAATTCGTTTGGTAGTTTTTTGGCTGGTCGTTTACAACAGGTTAAAATTGGTGGATGCAAATCGAGTAATATATTAGTAATATCTGGAGTACCACAAGGATAACATTGTTCACCCCTGTTATTCAATATTTTCGTGAATGACATAGGATGCAGTTGTGAGAACGGTGAATTTTTAATGTTTGCGGATGACCTGAAGCTTTTCAGACCAATAAAGTCATACAATGACCAAATTCTCCTTCAAGATGATCTAGATAAAGATAATGAATGGTGTGTTACAAATAACTTATTTCCTAATGTGAATAAATGCCATTTTATTACGTTCTCAAGAGTTGGTAGGAAATTTGATACATCATACAACATAAATGATCAGTACTCAGAATACACTTCCTCCATAAAAGATTTGGGGGTCATTTTTGACGAACAACTCAAATTTGTAAACCATATTACCAAGTGAGTGTGAAATCATCCAAAACACTGGGTCTTATTTTTCATCATTGTTCAGGATTTTTCATTGAAGCATTAAAAAGGATTTATTTAGTTCTAGTGGTGTCTAAGTTAGAATATGCATGTATCATTTGGTCTTCATTTTACAATGTGCACTGTGTGTCTCTAGAAAGAGTGCAAAACAAATTTTTGAGATTTTGTTCTTTCAAGTTGGGTCTTCAAATACAGTATCACGACTATTCGAGTATATTACAAGAAATGGGGGCTGAAACTATTGCAAACCAGAAGAATTCATGCAGATCTATGCTGTGCGTTCAAGCTGCTCAATGGACTAATAACTTGTCCTGAATTACTTGAATCTGTCAACGTTCACGTTCCGAACATGAATCTTAGACACAGCCATTTATTTCATATACCCTTTCATCATACAAATTATGGCGAACATACACCCTTGGAAAGAACCCTAAAGTTAGTAGATGACAAAAACATCAGTATTTTTGCTGTCTCTTATGGTCGTTTTAAACAATCTTTGAATAATTTAAGTTGGTAATTGTTTACATAAGGTAGTAACAAGTTTAATTTCAATTCTATATCCTATAGTATTTTATAATGTTATATAGTTGTGTGCTGCAGAAACATTCCGTAGCGTATTAGTTTATATTTTACATTTTTATATTGTACTTTTTTTCTGTGAAATTTTTACACTGTAATGGGGTTTATCCCGTATAAATAAATAAATAAATATTAGTAATTCTCATTTATTGAAGAAAAAAATATTAGAAAATTCTACCCGATACAAAGATTTTTTCTTTAATATTGGCATTTCAATTTCAGAGCAAGTTTTTCAATTTTTCCATATAAACTTGTAATATTCGGACGTTTTGAATAAACTTGTGTATGAAGAAAAACAAATCTTTACACTAACCTCAGACTGTTCTTGTTCCTCATCTTCAATTCGACCAGAGATCATCTCCAGTTCATGGGGTTTCAGCTTTCGCCTGCGTTTGTACTTCCTCGGGCCCACCTGTGGCTGGCGTTTCATAGCCGTGTTCATGTCGCAATGGTGTATGAGATGAAGGATCAGGTCCTGCGAAGTGGCAAACATGTCCGAACAAACGGAACAGCAGTAAGGTGTCATGCTATAGAAAGAGTAACGAATAGGTCATTTAAAAACTCGACTTTTAAATTTCTATGACACATTGAAAATACAAGAATAGAATTGAATAGAAATTCATTCCTCTTTGAAAATTTTACATGTCACACAAATACAAAATTTCATCAGACTAGTCAAACAGATATAAAAATGTTTATAAAACACACAGTATATATTTTCAAAAACTAACACCTCACGATTTGATTATATATGTACAGATTGAATATAAAAAAAATGAAATACTATTATTCAGGAATTCTCATTGTTGCCATTCCTTGCACGTTAAGGTGATTGGTGTGATTCCAATCTTTTATCATTCAACATCGATAAAACAAATGTGGTCACATTTAGATGTAACATAGGGGAAGTACCCTTGGAAAATGTTAAAATTGAAAATTTGGAGAAAAATAAATTTTTAGGACTCTTTATGATGAAAATCTAAAATTTGATTTCCATGTCGACTACTTATGTAAAAGACTAGCAGCAGGATGTCATGCAGTGAGAGTTGTTGCAAGAGAGTTAGACACTACTATAACAAGATCAGTTTATTTTGCACAAATTGAGTCCTGTTTACGTTATGGAATTTGTTTCTGGGGAAATTGTGCAAAATTTTGTTTCAATATGGTATTCTCTCTAAAAAAAAAAGATCCATCAGATATTTATGCAAGGCTAGCTACAGGGATTCATGCCGCCCATTATTTGTGAAGCAAAAAATTCTGACCTTAGTACGTCTTTTTATTTTGGAAACAATGTGTCTCATCCACAAAAATTATAAAAATCAATTCAGTAACACCTCAACTTATAGTACACATCAGTCTTACTCCGTTTCCCTTCCCACACCTTCTCTAGCCCTTACACAAAATTCTATTATTTTCAATAGCAAGAAGTTATTTAACCACCTTCCCATTAATTAAAGGCGAATATATAATGAAAAGAAATTCAGAAAGAAAGTGAAAGAATTCCTTGTTGGGAGGCCCTATTATAGTGTTGACGAATTCTACCAAGGCTCTATCGAGTAATTGGCATGTAGCTTTGTGTAAACAAGTTATTGAAACCAACACGAAATGTCTATCAATGTTCATTATGTAGCATTATATATTTACATTTACCTAATATTCATAAATTCATGTACTTATATTTGTATCTGTTCAGCTGGACTTAATATTGTTCTGTCCATATATTCTGCTCTTGTCTCTAAGCATTATTTTATAGTTTATAATTGTTAATTGTCCCATATACATGTTTTACTTTACTAGACTTTGCCAATAAGATGTTCATATCTTGGGTAATAAAGCATATTCTGATTAACAGCCACATTATTTTCAGTCTGCTTATTTGTTTCTTCCATTGTTAGTTCTGTCTCTTTATCTGTGATGTTTCCTGAAAGACAGCTACCTAATTCATACTCAAAAATCCTCCTTTGTAACAGTGTATGGGCTCCTTCGTTGATGGATGAGCGATATTTTCTGAAGTCAAAGCATCTTATGACCACACTCCTAGGCCAGTTAAATGGATTATTTGAATCATATTTCAGTCTGAAATCAGCACTCAGCATGCAACATTCATTTTGTGTTTCTAGTGTTGGCAAGTGATTTACACTTATATCAGCATCTTCGTATTATGATAATTTCTCGAGATACTTCAGGATCTTACATTCATTTATTTACTGTTTGATTATTCATGTATATATATAAATAATTTTTTTTCGCGCCGAAACCTTTGGTGTTGTTAGTACCCAAAGTTTTTTTTGTGAACGAAGCTGTGTTTTTTTCCTGTCCTTTCCTCTTTTTTTCACTCCTGTAAACTCTCCAAGATTCAACTCCGCCATCCATTTCTTAATCCTTATTTATATTAAGCATAAGGTTCATAAGTTCTTGTTGATATTGTATTTATTTTTCGAATTGTTTTTCTGTGGCGATGATTCATTGTTTGTTTACTTGAGCTGGGCTCAGTGTTGACTGGAAAAACATTCACTAGATTTGCAGCTTTTCAATTTTATCTTGAAGTAGTTGGTTATTCTGTTTCAATAAACTGATATTATCTAAAAGTTTATTATTTTTATCATTCTCCTCTTTCAGAAGTTTAATTTATTTTAACTTTGTAATTTTTGAATTTCTGTATCATTATTGTTTACATTCTGGTTTTCACAGCATAAAACCCTACTTTCACATATTTTTATAAGCTTTAGTTTGCTTCTAACTGACACGACTGATAAAAAGATATTTCCACATTTTATACAAACTGTTACATTATTCTGCTTGTTTTGACAGCACTTGAACATTTCAAAATTTAATTGAATAGAACTGGCCGATACTTGATGAAAATCCATATTAAGACAATACAGTTTATTGTATGATTTTCACTATAAAGGGTTTTACAAAAACCGCATAAAAAATAGTCTTTTTTTAATTTTTTTTACGTTTGAGAAAGTATTGTATAGTGAAACGTGTCGTGATTTTTGTAAAACTGTTCACAGTGAAAATCATACAACAAACGGCATTAATGAGTTTTTAAATTTAGTTTTATATCATTACTTTCTGTATATTCTTCTTTTCGTTTTCAATGGGAGAAAATTTCTTTGAAAAACTCAACAATTGCGTTCAAGTGAAAAATTAAGCAAATATTGTTTTTTTATGAAAGTTGTTCAAAGACTAAAGTACCTATTGATATATTTGGGATCGGGTCCGGAATGGTGGGACCTTATATGCTCTCTCAGGACCACTCGTTGGTTGAAGGCCCTAGGACATACAGCACAGGCATACGGTTTTTCGCCAGTATGTATTCGTTCGTGCTTCCGTAACGTTCCACCATCTGCGAAGGCTTTCCAACAAAATCTGCATCCATATGGCCTCTCACCTTGGACAATACAATAAACCAACTTAATTACGATAGACAAGTAAATATGTGAATAAACATTTTTGACACATTTATCCAAAAATAATATCCTATAAACATATGTAGAATAGTTTGTATCTGGCAACTACTTATCCCATAACAGCTTCGGTTTGAACATCTTTTTTGATTGAAAATTTCTTGCCAATTTTTCCAAATTCATTATCGAACCCGACTAATTTCATATCTTGAATATAACAATAACATCTAGTTATCAAAATCGCTTCCTAGCTGGAGTTCCTTGATGTATACTGGACGTCAACAAAATCATTGTACACAACGCCATTCAGTTATTCAAGAGGGAAGAAATTTCAAATGAAGGTAGAGCTTATCGAAACAGATATTTTCAGTCATGGAACAGAAGAAAATCTAGACAGGGTGAACCGAAAATGAGCTCAAGTCAAAAATTTCAAACAGAATCCCTACAGGATCTGATCTTTTTTATAAGATATACAATTATCTTTTCAACAATATCCATATCCATTCAAAATGGCGGCGTCGAAGCTATTTTCTCATAATTTAATGTGGCAGCACAATGTCATCTATAGAAATATCGTCAACTCAAAAAATCGGTACTCTCACTTATTTCCAGAGTTACAGTAACACAATCAAAGCTATAGAACCACAGTTATCACCTTCACACCTTATGTCACCATCTTTGCCACTTTTCAGTTTAATAATCATCATTTTTCATATGAAAAACTTGATTTAACATTGGATTAGTTTTCTGGTGACATCCCTACATTGTGAGGTTATATACTAGCGACATTTAGGAAAAAAGCAGCTCTGTTATTCAATAAAGTTTATTAAAGGAAAATGTTGATTATTGAACTGAAAAGTGTCAAAGAAGGTGAAATAAGATGTGAATTTTATATTAGATCAGATATTTAAAATTTCTTCCCTGATAAATAGCTGAATGACACTTCGTACAATGATTTCGTTATCACCTGGTATACCGAACTCAAATTATATAGATATCAATGAGGTGTAATATTTTTAAAAAACTCCAAAACTTCATCATTTTCACAGGGTTTTTTGGTCTTTAATTTCAGACACTCAAGTCTCATTATGAACAAAAGACAAAAGTAGTGTTACTCTTATTTTTTAATGCTTATGTATTGAGATTATGTCATACTCAGTAAACAAATATTTGTAACTGTTCAGATCTCAAACCAAGCATCTCCAAATATATATTTTGAACAACAAACCTGTATGAATTCGAATATGTATCTGCTGCGAGCTCCGCGATCCAAACGTCTTTCCGCACTCTCTGCATGGAAACTGCCTGCCAGAAACGCTGCTGTGACTATGCCGATGGTTCATCAATGATCTACCATCTGGAAACTCTTCCCCGCAAACGTCACAAGTCACTACTTTGTTCCTGTGCGACAGCATGTGTCTTTTCAGCCTAGCTTTGTTGTGAAAAGTTTTGGCACACTTGCTGCAAGCAAAAATCTGAAAAAAAATTGTTGCAGTCGCAGGGGTCAGATAAACAGAATTGTTGCAAAATACCTTCTCTTTAGAATGCTCCCATGAATGTTTCAGGAGTGTTCGTTTATCTTTGCACGTCCGTCCACACAACATACAAGTGTTAGGGGGTAGACTTTTTCCATGTTTCGCCTGAAAGAAAAATTTAAACACATTTTTAGGTAAAACATCAAAACAACATTGAAACTGAAGCATTGTTGGAAAAAATGTCAATTGAAAACCAAAGTTCTAATGGTAACCTTTAAAAATTTAAGACAAAAATTGTCACAGTGAAACAAAAGTTTCCTCAAAATTTTCATTTGAGTACCATCAGAGCACTTCGTCCATTACCTCATCATCTTTGATAATGTCTACAGTAATTGTAGACAAAACTGTCTAGCCTAGAAGTCTTACATCACTCATCATTTCTCTGGAGATTTTTGTAAAGTGGAAAAGAATTAGTTGTGCATAGGATAATGTTTTTATATACAGATTGATTGTGATTTTATTCTGACATAATGTGCAATCAGATTGTTAATATTATAAATATGAGTGGCCTCAGGACCCTACTCTATGGAACACCAAGAGCCAAGTTCAAGGTCTCCGACTATTGGTCTTGATCTCCATTGATTCACAGAAATTCCACATATACCATAGGGTTATGAGAGTTTGGTTTCAAGAATATAAAATTCATTAGAGTTAAAAACCCCAGATATGTCGAGAAAAAGTTAACAGGCAATATTGCCCTATACCAAACGTTACATTTTAACGGTAACTTCAAATGATACAGTTTCAATGCATTTGCCATCTGAAAAGCCATGTTGTGAATTGCTAAAGAGATGAGACAAAATTGAGCTGAGGTGACTAAGGGGAGATAGTTTTCAAATAGTTATGGACCTCCTTTTCCGACACATAGCTCTTAGTCACGGGAGATTGTTTCAAGTAAACACAAGAACTTCATAATAAGCAGCACTTGTTTTGCTCTCCATTTTATCAACTATTTGGATTATTTCTTCTTATCAATTTACTAGTTTACTACTTAAAAAAGATACAATTTTTATACAAGAGTATATTGTATAAAAGTGTATATTGCATATACACTTATTTTTTAGCATTGACTTCTGAGGTCAGTAACCTCCTGTTTCGTGTCTATGTGCAGTCTTTTCAGCCTTGTAATGTAGCAGAATCAATCCACTTCCAATTCTCGTGAGAAAAATATATGATCGAATGGGGATTTCAACCAATGATTTTTGGAGCATGACACACTAGCAGACTTTTTCAAATAAAACTTTTCGATTTGAATTCTATTAAAAAAAAACAATAACCCCACCTGAACATGTACAGCTAGAGTGCTCTCATCTGGAAAATTCTCTCCGCATACCATACATCTGAACTCAATACTCCTGGCGTGAACTTCAGCATGAGCGAGAAGGTCCAAAGCTTCTTGAAAAGATTCCCCACATACATTGCAAATATGACCGAATTCATGCTCGTGTACATATTCTTCTTTTACATGTACCTTCTGGTGCCTCCGCAGATTATCTTGCCTAGAAACAGAGGCCATTAGGAAAAACAAAAAAAATTCAAATTCAAATTTTTATTTGGTTCATAACAAAGCTACAGCTTTAGATCATGTCACAGAATACATTAAATTAATATATGCTCACAAACCAAAACTATGTACTATTTTTCAAAATTAGAAACAGAAAGCCAAAAAGCTCTTTTCCCAAAAACTAATCCCTCCTTAAACCAAACCTCCATCAGTTTATATTCACAAACCAAAACTATATACTATTTTTCAAAATTAGAAACAGGAAGCCAAAAAGCTCTTTTCCCAAAAACTAATCCCTCCTTAAACCAAACCCCCATCAATTTATAAAAAATTATGAATTAAATGCATGAATATACAAATGCATCTTATAAAATCTATATAACCAATTCCACTTATTTTACTTCTCCGCCAAAGGAATGCAACCCTGAATATTTTCAACTCTACTTTCCTGTATACATAGTTTTCTATTCCACCCATTAAAAATTTATAGAATGATCATCGGGTGATCATAACTATCCCAAAGATCTACAGATACAGCCTACTTTGTTAGGTTGATAATAATGTTCTGCATCTGTTGTGGTGGATGAGAATGATATTCAGAACCAATTTCACAAATATACAGAAATTACCTGTGAAAAGAAAGTCCACAAGTGGTACAATAAAATGTGCCGTACTTTGTATCCTCTTCAGAATAATCCTCGTCCTCATCATCATCATAATCTTCTACATCCCCATGTTTTTCTTTGGCATGTTCCCGCATCTGCGTATGATCCCAAAACATCTCACCACACTTTTGGCACTCAAATGGGCTGTCACCTTCTGAATGCACTCTGAAAGGATTTTATTTTATATCTCTAGTAAAAAATTATTGGAGGCATGTAATTACCTACAAGAATAATGAAGACAAATTTCCTTACCTGGTATGTGATAGCAGAGCTTTCTGTCTAGCAAAACACACCCCACAATGCTGGCAGACGAAAGGTTTTCTTGGATCAGTAACAGGATATCTATTTTCAATAGGTTGTTGTTCCTCTTGCTGTTCATATTCATAACTTTCATTGTTTGGTATTTGTTCCACAAGTTTGACATCTTCCTCAACATAATTGTAGGTACGAGATCCTGATGCACCTGTATAAAATTCTACTTCCAGAGTTCAAATAAATGAATTCACAACCATTAAAAAATTAACATTAAATCAAGTTATTTTTATATCAGTCAAGGTTATTTACCAATCAATTAATCCTAAAGAGACAATAGCAATTATAACTTTCATTCTACTTACCAGCGACATCGTCTTGAAACTGCTCAAACTCTTCCTTTATTTTCTTCTTCTTTTTTCTTACAATAGGTTTGCCTTTTTTCTTTTTATCTAATGCAGCGAATTCTTCCAATGTTTGAACCTGCTCGTCATTTAATCCATCTGTTTCTGGTATGTAAGCATGGACCTTCAAATGATAATATATGGAATAGAAACAAATTGTTAAGCGTTATAAAATGAATGTTACATCTTGAATCTTACATTGAAAATATATCAGATTGTATTCTAAATGTAAAACTTTGAATAAATGACAATTGACAGAAGAATCTAACATGGTTTCCTTTCATGTTGGTTTTATTTGTTCAGTAGAAAATGTTCATAAGGTAATATTATGTTTGAAGAGAAAATACAATTTTACCATCATCGAATGTAAGGAACGACGCTAGACAAGATTAGTGTGATCCTACAGAAAAAGCAAATTTGTTAGTAAAATTATATCCAGAATGGATTATTCTTGGCTTTGAATGTTCTTGAGTTATTGGGCATTATGTCTAGTGACCATATTTTGTTTGTTCCTGTTAGGACCTGTAATTAACATCATACAAGGTGAGTTTTTGCATATTTTTTTGGGTAACCACATTTCTAAATTTTACTTTTCTTTGACAGGTTTTATGGAAGAGAAATTTCTGAAGAACCTTCACCCCATTTGATTTGAGTTAATCTTTTAAAAGTATGAGAAGATCTCCTTTTGAGTTCCTTTATTTTGCTGGTGGCAGTTACTGCTTAAGCACTATCCGCCGTTTTGTTTGATATAATTGTCCCAACGAGATGTTCCAAAGATGGATTACTTTCCTACTCCAATCGTATCTCCAGATTGTACCTGGTTATGAGGATATATGATTTTTGTCTCTCCGTTTCATTCTTGGTGAAGACGAAAGGAAGATTGTTCAACTTTGCAGCCCATTTCAACCACTCTAGATGAACTACTTCCCACAGACAATTGTCTCTCCGGATTTTATCAGATTGGATGCTTCATCTACTCCCCTAGTTGTGTGTCCTTCTATTGTTTAGTTACGACGTACCTGAATGTACTGGATGGTACAACTTTTGGCTTCAACCTACTTCGTGGGACATTACACTACTGTCTAGTCTATATAGGATAGTATACATGAACCAATTTCAACATTTTCGTGTTTTACCTGCTACCTTTTTTTATTTACCTACATCATAATTGTATGTAATAGCCCTCGTACAGTACTTGATGATTGCTCTCATATTTTCAAAACACTTAAATAAGGTCATCACCCTCGTACAGTACTTGATGATTGCTCTCATATTTTACAAACAATTAAATAAGGCCATCACATAATCAATTAATATTATATATTGACTGAACAGATTTGAAATTATTATTTAAAATTGCAATGTCATTCCCACAAACTTGATTGTATGACTGTAATTTACGTTTTTTTGCGTATTTCATATGTTTTTTTATTACATGTTTATTAAGGAAGGTGTTTGTTTGACTTCAGGTTCCTCTCCCTTCTCTTAGTGATTATTGAATATTGATGTGTGATTTTTAAAGTACACGAAGTGTACTCAAATTATTTTGCATCTTATTTCCCCTTTTCAGACAAGATCTAAGTAACCTTTTAAGAAGAGTTGAGTGGCGTCCAAATTCAACTTTTATTATTCAAATATAGTCAATTAGTGAACCTCGACCACATGCTCTACCTATTTCAATAGATAACGGCACAAACGTTTTTCTACAAAAGAAAGAAAACAGTACAGTTGAAAGAGACTCAAAGTGTCTCATACATAGTATCGTCCAGACACCTGTTAAATTGAGTTCATCTTCTTAAAGCTACCGAGTACTAGATTGATCTGATTGAACACAAACTAAAAACATATGCCTTACTCAAAATACTGTTAGAGATGACTAAAACTGCCTGTAAATCGTCATCAAGAATATATCAGTAGATAGGAGTAATACAAAACAACTTTTGTTAAACTCAGCTCACTGTGAATGAGTAGAGTCTGAAACTGCCCAATCAGAGGAAGACATCCAACTACCAAGTAAAAGACGGAGGGTCTCTCAAGATTAACATGCTCATGTAACACGACCGAGTAATAATAACTGTCGAGTGATGTTACTTTGATTTGAAATTTCAAAGCCATCCACCGACTTCTTATCAGGTGATCGGCACTTCAATAATATTTGAAAAAATGACTTTTTCAAACAAAAGTCAACTAAAGTTTATAGCAGATGTATTGTATGAACATGTCCTATAAATCTAAAGAAATGAACTTTGAATATTCAAGCCTACACAGTAGGTTGAATGGACTGACGCCCATCAAAAAACAACTACTCCACTGGCTAATACCACGAACGACGTTGGATTATATCCGACAGGCGTCAGTGCAGGAATCTTCACAGAAAATTTCCTGCATATGCAATTGGCGATACAACTGAAAGAGTTGACCCTCAATTTTGGAACGGGCACACTTGCAGACCGGATTTGGGCTCCTTAGCCACTAATCAGTGCAAGATAGTGACCATCATCGACCTGAAGTCAATGATATTCCATAATTGAAAATCGAAATTCTTGCAGAGTATTTCATTATTCGTCTTGAGTTGGAGCGAACATAAAAAATGTCACTTCATCTAGCGGACGAGTTACTAACCAACTGCATATCCGAAATTTTACCGATTCCTCTGAATAAGGAAGAAAAACTTTCTTATTAGTCAGTGGGCTATGCTAGAAGACAAGCAGTAAACAAATCTAAAGAAATGAACTTTAAATGTTCAAGCCCGTCTCGGACATACCTTAAATTCAGTATTGTATAAACCATTGTGAGAAGTTGAAAAAACTGTTGGTACTGAAATGTGATTCACCAGAAACTAGCAATATTTCCTTCAAATGTAGTTCACAAATTACATCACCATTTAGCTTTTTTGATCACTAGAAATTAGGGACCACATCAAATAACTCTAATAAAGGTCAAGCTACTTCAGGGTCACGCAAAAGCCTTAACCATTTTGTCAGTCAAGCTACTTGTTCATGTTTTTTATATTACTACGTAAAATGATTTTAGACATTACTATTGCACTTTGAAGATGTTTCAAGTTCCAATAGAGTCATGCTCAGAGATGTGAAACATCTGAACGATTTCAAACAAAAAAAAGAGATTTAAAATGTTTTTCGAATTGATTTACCTTCAGATGATTCATCAAGTCGCACTTTCTGATATATCTCACACCGCAAAGGTTACAGCCATGAGGTCGGTCTGTCTGATGAGCCACCATGTGATTCATAAGACTGGCTTTTTTCCTGAATCGTCTACTGCAAAAGTCACATGGATATGGTCTTGCTGCAGTGTATTCATCTTGATCAGTCGGTAATGGTATATCACAATCTTCCTGACTTGGTTCTTCAGTACCCACAGCTTCTTCAGAACCAACCACTACAAAAAAGTAACTAGACGAATCAGTCCAAATCTAGATCATAACGCACATATAAATTACCAAATAAGATATTAAAATATGTACAATCAGTCAAAAAATAGTCCACTATTATACATGGCTATTCAAATTCGTTTCTGTACATGGGGATCTCATAAACAATAAGAGATAGAGTGTCGGTTAAATTGTGGCAAAGTTGCCTATTTCAGAGACCTATTCAATGATGTAAAAAAATCGAATGAAGCTCTTTTGGTTCTGGAGATATACAGGAAAAACAAAAAAATCCCAAATATTTTTTTTTGCCTACATCTTCTTTATTCGTAGACATATTGGAAATCTGTCCACATTTTGCTATTGGCACTTGATGTGAGCTATCAGAATATGTCCATAAATCTTTTATATAGGGTGTCATCTGACTTGGGCCACCCCATCTTTGAATATTTAAATACGGACCTGTATTTTTTGTTGTAGTTTTTGGATCGTAGACGTTCACTTCATACTGAGAAATTGAATTTCATTTTATTTTTCGGGATGTTTCGGTAATGTTTGATTATAATTGAATGAATTATTCCCTTTTAAATTACGGCCCTGGAAATTGGTTGGCTGAGTTGAATAAAAACACAATAGCAACTTTCACGTCACCCTATGTACTATAGAGTTTTTAGAGAGTTTTTTTATTTCTAGGTACCCATTCATATTTTGATGTAGATATGTTTCAGATAATCATAAAAGGTTTTCTTATTCGACGTTCATTGTAGAAAACGCTTAGAGCAATGGAAAAAATATGAATAGGTACCTAAAAATGAAAAAAAAAACTCTCGAAAAACTCTACGGTACATGAGACCTGAAAATTGCTATTGTGTTTTTATTCAACTCAGTCAACCAATTTCCAGGGCCGTAATTTAAAAGGGAATAATTCACATTATTATAATCCCGAAAAATAAATACACACTTCTTTTACCAAACTTCAAAAAAACTCTAATGAGGTAGAAAAACAAATATTTGTTTTACTTCGACGTTAAATACATTTTAGAAAATACTAGTTTAATTGTATTTCATTCCTTGATTTGTTTATGCAATTCCATGATAGTGGTCACTAAATTCTCAGAAATATTATTGTATTAAAACGAAAACATGGTTGTCAAGGTTGTGATTCTATATATTTTATCATCATTTTCCCTCATCTGTTTGGTATAATTTCCGTAAGCCACTGCAAGAGACAGATTGACGCAAAAAGTCAGTCATTTCTGAGAATTTAGTGCCTACTACTTTGGAATTATAGTATAACTGAACGAACAAGTTCCAAGAAAGGGTACATTCTATTTTTGCAAAACAAACATTTTTTTCAATGTCTGTTTCTAAAATCTGCTACTGACATCCTGAATTTTCTGCAAAATTATCGACAATAAATTTGACAACATAACACAACTACTAGATCGCAAAATTCTTCAAAACAATTTAGTGATTTTTGATGTCCTTCTTGAAAATGAACTCGAATAGTTCTAATATAAGTAACAATTGAACCATATGATTCAAACAAATCATTCACATTTTAAAACAAAGATCTACTTTCTCACTGGAAAACTCAGAGATACTCCAAAAAAATGATATGTGATGGAATCAGCCGATACTTGATGAAAATCCATAACATATTCAAGAAACACCTTATGGCGACATTTTCACTAAACACTCTCAAACAAAGTGTTTCTTGAACACCTATAAAATGAGGAGTAAAAACATATTTGAAGCTAACTTTTGGAACTCTGAAGATCAGCTCCTCCACAAAATTTCTGATGAAGCATATCAATACCACCAAAGAACCAGTAAACTAAAAGGCGACTAAAAGCATTAATAAAAACACCCACTCTTCAATAGACCTAGAAACTAATCCAGATATACTTTACAACCAAAGAAAACAGCATAAAAGCTACTATTAGGAATAATCTGCTGGACATCAATAAAAACACCTACTCTCACAACTAAAAGCAGCCTGGGGATAAAGAGTGTGGAAAAAAAAAAGAATTCCGTCAAAAAACATCACAAAAACCACTGTAAGGAATAATCTGACCTAGAATCGAAACCAGAGTTTCTGCCCAACCCAAATAAGTCTGGTGATAAAGAGGAAAGTCCAAGTGAAAGAAAAGATATTTCTTCCTGTAAAGAGACATCTGCCAAACGGACTGCTAGACTAAAACTTATTCCACCGGGACTACTTTCATGAAACAAGACGGATAATCAGTTGTTTTAACTTCCTATGGACATTTTTACATATATTTACTTATTTTTGTATAGTTTCCATATTTTTTTGTTACATATACAGGGTGTCCCTGGACTTCCTCTTTTCCTCTCGGGAATGTATAGATGGGGTCAAAATATCACCAGTACTTCATATAACTTTTTTCCTAAAAGTCTTCGTAACCAAGTTACGGGCCCTCGAAGTTACAAAATGAAAAATGTTTTTCTTTGATAACTTTTCAAGTGAATATTCAAAATCATCCAAATTTTGGTAATTGACTAAACAAATGAATTCCGTCGATGAGCTTTCATGCAGGAGTCAGTTGTTTTGCTACAAAGTCAGGAACGGACTACCCCCGATGGTCCACACCCCAAAACTTTGAAATGACAGATATTTTTCAA